GTAGAAGTAGTAGACTAATAAGTAGAAAAAATATCAGACGTATCAGTCATGTGGTCAGAAGCGCCAGAGTCTATGATCCAGGGACTGTGAGTGGAGGACAATAAACAAGTGGAGGTAGTACCTAATTGGGCAAAAGTAGCAGTGGAGGGAGATGGAACAGCCTGTTGATGGGATAGAAACTGAACATACTCCTCCCGTGTAAGAGTAACTGATATGGAATCAGGTGGAGCGGACCGAGGTATAGCGGCACGAGTCGGGGTGTCATCCTGATAAGACACCTGATTAGCAACTCCCGAAGGTAGAGCTGTCAAAATTTGACACGACACGATTAACCCACATGAATCTACACGAATTAAACGGGTTTGGGTGAGATCTTAACGGGTTTGGGTGATAAACAGGTTGACAAGCCAAACACGTTTAATAATCGGGTCGTGTTCGGGTGAGATCTGTCAAACCGTTTATCACACGTTTATCTGTTTAAATAAAATTAATATAATAATAAATTAATAATTATTTAAAAAAATTAGCAAGAAAAAAGAAATAAAGAAATCAATAAAAAAAAAAAGTAAAGTAGTAGTTCAAAGACTAACGAGAAAAGTTGGAGAGCACTTCAAAGGCAAAGGCAAACAAATGCCTTTTATTTTTGTCCCACATTGAAAAATGAGGGGAGATGAGGAGGGTTGAGTTGTCTATAAAAGACAATGACCTCTTGCTTTTATTTTTAAAGCTTTCAAGTCTTATTTTTCAAAGACAAAAGAGAGGAGTTGTAGAGCACTTGAAAGATAAAGGCAAACCAATGTCTTTTGTTTTTGTCCCACATTGAAAAATGAGGGGAGATGGGGAGGGTGAGTTGCCTATAAAAGGCAATAGCCTCTTGCTTTTTTTTTTAAAACCTTTAAATCTTATTTTTATGAGATTTGATTTAAAATTCCTCTTTTTTGAAGTAAGTGCAATTAGTAGTAAAAAAAATGGAGTATTAAAATTTGTTAATATAATTTTTTTAAAATTAAACGGATTAAACGAGTCGTGTCGTGTTACCCGTTTATTAAACGGGTCGTATTCGTGTTGAGATTTTTTACCCGCTTATTAAACGTGTTGTGTATGAGTTTATACGTTTTTCACCCGTCACCCGTTTAACCCGACACGTAACCGTTTAACTCGACACGATTGACATCCCTATCCGAAGGCTTGCCATGTAAATCCCAGCAGTAATCAACAGTGTGGCCTCCACGACCACAGTGAGAGCATGAACGAGACCCTGAACGACCTCCACGACCTCCAGTACGGCCTCCCCGACCGCCACGACCACCACGGTTACCACGGCCACCTCGGGAACTGTCACCATGGCTACTCGGGACAACAAAAGCTGAATGATCAACAAGCACACCAGACTCCGTGTTGGATAAACTGGTAAAGAAGGTAGCACACTGCAGGCGGGAGAAAACCTCCAGTAGAGATGGAAGGCTAGAACTACCCAAAATCTAAGAACAAATAGACTCGTACTCAGGTTTCAAACCAATTAAAAATCGAACAACATTCAAATTCTCATGTTGCTTCTGCCAAACCGCTGCATCAGTAGTAAAGGGGTGGTAGAGCTTCAACTCTTCACATACTCTCCGAACATGAGAGTAATAATCCTCAAGACTCAGAGTACCCTGCTCCAGACGAAAATACTGTTTGCATACTTCATATGCACGAGTGAAATTCCCAGTGCCAGAATACATGGTAGCCAAGTGATCCCAGATCTCTTTGGCCGTGTCAAGATAAAGCAAAATAGAACTGATACTGGGCTCAATACTATTTAATAGCAATGAAATAATTTGAGCATCTTCTTGTTCTCACTTATTATACCCAGGAGTATCTTCCTTGGGTTTAGTGTCCATTAAATATTTCTTAAAGCCTTTACCTCTAAGAAACACTTGAATAGATCATGACCACAAAACATAATTAGTCCCATTGAGTTTAACAGATGTCATGGGACCATTAAGTAGAACCGTAGGAGAAAAATTTGGTGACGTGGATGAAATAAGATCAACCTGACTATCATCATTTTTATTCTTGGGTTCCATAATAATATAGCAATAATAGAAGCAAAGGAAAAAGAGAAACCGTGATACCAAGGCTGGAAGAACACCAAGGAGCATGGGACAATGGATTAGGTGCCTGAACCGGACCAAAATAGTGGCTGAATACCTGAACCAGGTGTGAAACACCTGTTGGATATAAGAACCGGATCAGAGAAGGCTGAGGGATGGCTGAACTGGACTAAGAAAGGCTATTGACTGCGTAAACCGGGCCAAGGAAAGCTGTTGAAAATTTGAACCGGACAGGAAACAGGTGTTGTATTACTAAACCGGTGCGAACCATCCTGGAAGAACTGAACAAAGCTGAACTGGAACTGATCAGGTCCTGAACTGGACCAGCTATCTCAACTGAGTTGGGTTGAACCGAACTGGGCTGGTATGAACCGAACAATCCAAACCCGCTAAGTCAACCCGCCCCGAACCAACCCGATAAGGATCGTCTTCGCCACTACTAAACCCTAATCAACAACCAAGCAGCCACCAACGCTGACTACACCACCGAACAACCAGATTATCTGTCGACTACGCCACCAAAGCACCACCGACGCAGAACAGAAGCCACCACCAAAAAACTCGATAAACAGCACACCGTCGACCACATCAGTCGACTACCACCAATGTCGACCACGATAGTACAACACAACGAACAACGAGCAACATAACAACAATGGTCACAGCAAAACCGATACAAATATTAACCTTGCTCTGATCCTATGTTAAGTGGAGAGAATTAACATAACACAATATTAGAGTGAAAGAGAGAAGTTAGCAAAATTTAACTTAGCTCTCATACATCATTTGTATTTATAGTTAACCTATAATAATAAGAATTACACATATATCCTCTTACTATTAACAATTTACACATACTATCCTATTATTCTTAACAAAAATTAATAAAATAAAATATTCTAAAATAAAATTCCTAAAATTCATACTTAATTTAGGAAGCATGAATATGGATACTGGATAAGGGATACGGGTATTACATGATACTGATACGACGATACGACAAAATATCAAAAAGTAGGATATGGGTACGACTATGATATGGCTATATATGTGTATGTATGTATATATTAGAATGCCATTACAACACTAGGGATATGAGAAATTAAGAAATGAAACACATCCAAACTAAAATAATTTATATTGGTGATGTAGTATTGCACAATAGTGTTTTAAATTCAAGATTCTATGTAATTTTAAAGCCGAAGGCGTGTCACCCTTGGAGAGTTATCAACTTTTGCTTAACATTTAATTGCAATAGACTTCATTGGCTTTAACATAAGCCATACAAACTCATTATTCAAACCAACTAAATTGTAAATAATTGACAAATCTTGTGATATATGTGATGCACGTCTAAATGAACATCTAGGAAAGTGGAATCCCCATCTGTATGATTTACGGTTTTTAAACAACTCACCTCAATAAGTATAAGACAAATGTATTCACCGTAGAGATACTCGTATCGGAAGTGTTTCCGACGAATATTCAACAATGATAAATATTTTATTAATTATTCGATATGTATTCATAAGTATCCGAGAAGTATCAGTATCCTATACGAATCAGATACAGATACGTCATCCCGTTCGAAGTATCCGTACTTCATAGCACTTATCTCTAGCTACATAATTCCCACCAGTTTCCTATCATATTCTCTTAGGTTGAGGTCCGATAACTCCTATCTGAGAATTAGACTGGTGGTATTACTATAGAAGACTTGTATCATGACAAGTGGCATCAAATTTTTCTTTTCCGTCTTTGCAAATACTCTTGGGACCCACCAAGTGAAAAATTATCATCCTAATTCACAATAGCATCCTAAATTTAATTACACTAGCAATGCACAACGTGCGTTGCACGTAATTAAATGTAATTAATATTTTTTTATAAAAATATGAATTATATGAGTAATTAAATTAAATAATAAATTAATTGTCAAATAATTAATTTGTATTTTAATTATTACTAAATTTAATTTTTATTTTTTTTATAAGTCTTTGAATAACTAATTTGTCATTTATTTAGATATCCCTCCGATCCTTTTAGTAATTTATCTATTTAATTATATTATAAAATTATTAATTCTTTATTTTGTCAAAAAAATTAATTAAATCGCTTATAATATTATTATATTATTGCATACTAAAAAATAAAATATAATATATAATTGACCGTGGAATTCAATGTGATAACTACATATATATATATATGTAATAATTTAATATATATAAGACTTTATTTCTTCATATAGATATAGAAAATTGTATGTAACTGTACTATTAATATATGAGTTTAAAAGAATTTATAAATCCTCATAAAAAAATTTAAAATAAGTTGAAAGTCAAATAGGAGTAAAAAATAAAAATTAAATAAAAGTATATAAGTGAGTATAATTGATTTTATTACAATAATTAGGGATAAAATAGAAAATAAAAAATAATTTAATATATTTAGGACTTTACTTCTTCATATAGATATAAAAAATAATATGTAACTGTACTACAAATACATGAGTTCAAAAGAATTTAAAAGTCCTTATAAAAGAGTCCAAAATAAGTTAAAAATCAAATAGGAGTAGAAAACAAAAATTAGATGAAAATATATAGGTTAGTATAATTGACTTTATTATAATAATTAGGGATAAGATAGGAAATCAAAAGTTTTTCACAGATGTTGACATTTATAAATAGTATAGATTAGATGGTAGACATTACGACAACCGGAGAACTAATACTTGAGAAGAAGATACAACATTTGTATTTTATAAGCAATATGGAGGCTCCAAGGTGCCTAGATAAGGTAATGTGTTCACATAAAAACCCGTAATCATTCAATTTCAATTGCAAATAAAGTGAATATGCATCAGGTCCATATTTAAGAACAACACGAAATTGTTTACTTGGTTCAAACATAAACTAGTGTAATGATAAGAAACCAGATGCAAAGGGCTAACCTAAATGGCTTGGTGATGGAAAAATGAAGAGCAATCTCAACAGAATTTGGGAAGCGATATTGTGTTTGAGGCTGGGCTCTAATACCAATTGATGTAGGACGGTAGAGTTGAAAGAATGAGAGTGAATACAGAGAAAAGATGCCAATGAGAAAGAAACGAAGAAGAATCATAGGAGCAAGAAAGAGAAAAAAAGGAAAAAAGCAAGTGATGGACTGGATTTTATAGTCTGTAACAATATTCAATATGCCAAAAACGAAGTCTTCCATTAAATAGCCCTATGTATAGGCAATCCAGAAGCCCTATTGTAATTTGGATTTTTCTAAGCTGATATATATGTTCCTAAATATAATGAAATAAAAAATTGTCTATTATTGGATTCCCAAAGTTAATATTTAGCTTAAGCTATCCAATGTTATTGCATTCTGCATCAAATGGTAAACTTCATGAATTAAGTAAACTGTGCAGCTGTCTTGTGCAATATTTTAGAATTCTTTAAGTTATACCTTTAGGTTGGTTAGCTGTGAGAATTAAGTAATGCCACGTATTATGAAGTGTAGGAGGGAGTATCCCTTCAAAAAAGTTGGCAAATAAGTGAGATATTTGGGTTCCAATGATGTTTCAATGCCAAAGGAAAAAAGTGAGGCACACATAACGACCCTTGCCTACGCCACAGAAGCTCCAAATTTTGGGATTAGGAGTTGGGGGTGGATTTTTGAAGGTCATCTAACTTTTAATAGTGAGCATAACAACTTTGAGGTCTATTTTCCAATAGTCAAGAAAAATTTGAGAGATAAATTCTATTTATTCTACACCAAAAAAGTAATCTTTCATTGACATCCCCCTCCAAATCGTAATTTGGTGGCGAAGAAAATGATAACCCCATCATTCCAAAAAGTATCAGGGATGAGAATTTAAAAGCCCCGGTGCAAAAAAAATTCTTAAACAAAATAATAGAATGGAGAGAGTATGTGCCACAGAATCGGGTAGCAATTGTGGCTAGATGAAAATGTTCCTAGAGGCACTACAAGTTGTATCATGTCTTCCCATGATTAGAGGTGATTTGTTTTGTAACCAATCCAATTGATAAAGGGAAGACACCCACATCAGTAAAATTGCATATTGCATAAGGACCATAATCTATAATGTCATCAACTTGAGTATTGTTCAAACCCGAATTTTGACCCAAACCTTTTAACCCGAGCATTACTTATGCTCAAATTTTTTACTCAGGTTGAATTCAAGTTGAATAATAGGGCCTAAATTTTGGGTTATACTAGAGTTGCCCTATTCAGCATAGGGCACTGCATAGGTGGACTTCAGCCTTCATCACTCCTACCAAAGATCAAAAGTGAGAATGAATGAACCTTTTTCATAAAACTAGTTCAAAATCTTCTTGAAAATCTACTGTAAAATATACTAAAATATTATCAAAAAAATTTACCGAATAATTTGCTAAATCAATTGGTTCAACACCTTTTTGTCGCCCAAATCAACAACTGATCAGGTGCCACAATCAAATTAGCAAAACCAGCAAAATTCCATAAAGATGTTGACATGAACCACACCAGACAACCGATCTAGTGTTATCTGCCTCCAAATGGTCAACCATCGCCAAATATTTGGCATCACCCACACGAATGACATTGGAAAAGCATACAACAAGAGAGCATCCGAAAGTGAAAATCCAAATGACAAGGAGAGAGTGTGAGAGGAGAACAATAGAGTTTGACAAAGAGGAACATTTGAGAGAGTGAGGGAGGTGTCTGAGAAAAGGGCAAAATGCCTTAATCAAGGACAAGTTTTCTTATGTATAAACTGGGTTTAACATAGGTTGATCTCAATTTCATGTATTTGGTCCAAGTGCCAGCCCACTCTAGGCCCTAATACAAGAATTACTTTAATTTAATTGGTGTGGAGATTTTTTTGCCTAGCCCAACTAAGTATTAAATATCTTTATCCAAGAATTAAAATTTTCTGGTTGGGTTGACCCTTTTTTGGTGTTTTATTGCTTGTGTCAAGGTGATGCGAACAAAATAAAAGATATGATATTGTTGGTGCAAAATTTGCTTAAGGTTAGAATTAATTCTGTTCATCTTGGTGTCAGCTTTCGAGTAATTGGGACTAGTTCTTTGAAGCTCCAAGTGAAGTTTCCGAAGTGTAGGTAGACTTGAAAAGAAGTCAGAGATTGGAGGGGGAACTTTGTAAGTCAACCCTCCAATGCTTAAGTCAGTAGCCGGTGAAAACTGAAGGGTAATGTTTAGGGACAAAGTTGCGTACCTCGAGCGTTTCTCCTAAGCTCTTCTTTATAGTTGAAAGCCAATATTTGCAGGGGAGTGGATTTTAGGCTCCCTTGTCCACTATGAGGAGGTTAGACTCCTTTTGCTTGAGAGTCTAAGCTCCTACTTTAATATCACTGGCAGGTGAGACTCCACTTATGCTAATAAGGGAGTGGAGATTCCTTTGGGATGAAGGGTTTCAACCCCTTTTCCTCCAAAATATGGTTAATAATTCAGTTTGAGAGGTTTTTAATTTTCGAATAACGGATAACCTTATCTTTTGATTCGAGTTCGCAAGCCAAACTACTAGGACCAGCGCAACTTCGTTTCATCTTGAGGTCGGTAGTCTTCTCGACGGTAACTTTTTTGGACTAAGTGACCTTTGGCATAACTTTCCCAATGGTGTAATTAATTTTCCCTCTTCAAATCTCAAGTCGTAAGTGGCTGATTTGATGTAATTTAAATTTGATTTGGTTTGAACTTTTAAGTCTCTAGAGTAATCTGAGATTGAGGTAGATTTTTAGGTCTAGTTATTTTATTGTTGTTTGACTTGGATATTTATTGAGAAAAGTACTTAGGTGAGAATTTTTTTTTTTGGGACCAACGAATCTCCACAGTTCTCTTCATGCCATAAATATTTGCTAACCAACACCTAATAAGCTCCATAACAACCAGGGACTAATTATATCAAGCTATAACCACTCTCACTTGATAAATTCCCGTAAAAAAATTCCAGGAATCCTCATTTCTAACTACATATTACAATTCTTCATAGTTCTCTTCATGCTATAAATATTTGCTAACCAATATCTACTATGCTCCATAAAAGAAAACAACAATGAAATAATCATGTTGTTTTTTGTGATAACCCGGTTACTAATTAAAAGATAACTATGATTCTATATTATCGAAATTTATTTTTACAAATTTAAAATAAACAAATGGACCTTAAATATGGATTTCCTTACGTCAAAACGAGTCAAATGACTATATATTGATTATGTTTAATAAATATCCAAATTATATATATATTCTAGAGGGACAAGTGTCAAAAAAGAGAAAAAAAAGTGACCACAAAAAGGAAGGGTGACATGTGTATTAAGGTTAAAAAAAAAGCATGGGCAAGGCATGGACAAGTGTCCATGCTTGCATCACCATAAGCCATCATAGATGATGTTGAAGCCAAACCAATTGACTATAAATAGCCATTGTTTCGTGGGCAAAACGTAGAGCAGGGAAGGAGAAAAAAGAGGGGGAGAAAAAAGAAGAAAAATGGAAAATTTTTGTCAACGTAGGAGTTCGATCTTATGATAAAAAATTTAGGTAATTTTGGGTATGATTTAATAATTTTATAGGTTCAATTTGACAAACAATCATTTGAATTTGTTCATTGTTAAATATTTTCGAATCTAATTCGAAGATCACTATTTATCGTTATTCACTACAAAAATTATTTTTGTTTAAATGAGTCACAATTACTTAGTTTTATAATATTTTAAAATATTTCTCAGTTTCATTTTGACATAGTGCACGATCTGGATATGAGATAAAATCAAAGGTACGAGAAATTATACATGCTCCTATATTTAAATATCTTTGTAAAGAGTGTCCTATTGTTTATCTCAAAGTTCGTATTAAAGGGCGTACCCAGTGTACGAGACTCCCATTATTGTTGGATTTGGGGAGGGTCAGATGTACGCAGTCTTACCTTTGCAAGTAGGGAGGGTGTTTCCACGACTCAAACCTGTGACCTCCAAGTCATAATAGAGCAACCTTATCGTTGTGACAAGGCCCGAAAAATTCATTGTATTTTGTTGATCTAACATGTATTTTGAGTTAAATACTTTGGGATTGATTAGTACATGCACGGAGTGTGCTTAGGACATAGTTTGTAAAATGTGTTTGTTCGGTATGAGTATGAATTTATATGCTCAAGTGTCATTTGTTATGTCACAAAAATGAACCGAGTATGAGGCTATGTTTGAGTAACAATTGAGTTGTGTGACTTGTGGAATTTGATTTTTGATTCTGTCGTACATGAGTGCTTATCGATTGAGTTATTTGATATTTGATCATTCGTATTTTATCGTTAAATATATTGTATATTTCTCCGCTTTTAATATTTTTTAGGATGATCTGGAAGGAAAGGAATAGAGTTGATATTTGAGAAATCACAGATGAAAGAATCTCGATAAAAAATTTATGAAATTGAAATTGCAAGTTTTATTGGTTTTGGAAATCAAATTTATAATTATTTTTTATTATTGAGGTAATAAGAGCTATGACCCAAATATTTGGAGATATAATTATTGATATATTGTGGTTGATTAATTGATCAAGTAACGCATTCGGGAAATCAGGGTGTTACACCTTTTCAATTTTAAGATAGATTTCGATATCCGAAGTGTTACACTTTTTCAATTTTACGGTAGATTTCGGTATCCATAATGATTTTGAGGGCCTTAAATGTTATGTTGTGAGTTGAGGATTATTTTTATAATTTTGACGAATTTTTAGGGGTTTAGAGATTCTATAAAAGAGCCTCAACCACACTAGAGGACTCCTCCAAGATGTGAAATTTCATAATGTTGCAACGAGCCTTTGGTTCTATATAGCTCCTTTCCCCTCTTTCTCCATTTTCCTCATCTCTTTCTTCCACTCTCTTCTCCTCTTTCTCCCTTCCCTACTTGAGGATTCCAGGGTCTCTCCCATTTCTCTCTCTAGGCTCTCCTTGTGGATTCTAGGATTTTTCCCGTTCTTCCTTTCAAGAGTTCCTGCACCTATACCTGTTGTTTGTGTCTCCCTCTCCATATTCTTTTCCTTCCCATGTTCTATTAAAAGTAAAAGAAACAGCAAGAAGATATACATAAATGTTTGTAATAAGTGTGTGATGAAAGTCCTTAGATACGACGTCCACTTGAAATAGTGCTGTCTGGAAAGTGGTCAATGAATATTTTGTGAGATTTCTAGTATCATGTATTATTTTCGCATTTATTCATAAAAAGAACCAATTACTAAAGGAGTTCAGCAGCAGATATGCTTATTTGTTTGTGTATTTCAGCACTTCATTTACATGTCATGTGCTTGTTGGTTATACAAAGACATATCTTGTGCTCATGTTTCCTTTAATAGGAAGCCATAAATGAATCTTGCCCTTGGAATAAGCTTAGGAAACCTGATTAACTTGTGCCAAGCAACATCAACTTTGTGGTTACAAAGGGCACTCCGAGCAGATTTAGTGCAGAATTGACCTCTAGATGAAGGCCATTCAACAGCATCAAGTCTGCTGCAACCTTGTAACAGATCTAAAGGAAGCTAACATCTTGAGCTGAAGGAGCCGGGGAGGCGAGAATTCTGCATGCTGTAGCTTACCTAGGGGCACCAGAATTATTTATATCTTACTCATCATGTTTTGAACAAGGTACCAAGCCAATAATCAAACCACAACAGTGTCAACCCACCCCATGACCTACCTTGTGCTTGAAGGGCCTAACATCTGTTCTGAGCTTCATGATCTTCCATCAAGTCCATGATGTGTCTTGGGGGATCTTAGTGTCCCAAAAATCTACCTCCAAGTAGGTTCATGCGCCCATGAAAATGTAGAATGTGGCCATTGAAGATCATTTATGCTTTGGGCTTTGTTGAATTCCTCAAACCCTTCCTATGCCAAATCCACCCTCTCCTCTAAACAAGCCGCCTCTTCCATTGCCACTTTAGCATCACTTTGCTTAAGCTCAGTCCACAGAAGCATCGTTATTATTTCCTCAATTTGCTGCATCGCAGTCTTTGGTAAGATAAATAACCTAGTCCAGTGGACTTGCACTCTGTCAAAATATTTTGAAACTGAAGTCTTCTGGAATATTCACCTTAGACACAATTATACCAACTAGGCATTTACAATCCCCAGCTCCAAGAAATTAGAGGAACTCCTTAGTGTCTTCATCAATCCCAGCACAAATGATATTATTGTTAGTAGGAATGACATTTGAGGCCAGAAAATGCAGAGACAATGTCCAGACATCTTTCGGGATAGAAGAAGACCTTCAGCACCATGACAGGACATTATTAAGTCATCTGCAAAACACAAGTGGGTACTGGAATAGTTGCTCATAAATGGGTTTAGCGCCCCCAAAAAATAAAACCCCTGTTTTGGTCCTTTTTTGGGGAATTTTTAGCTAATCATTGTTGCTATTGTTATTTTCATTGTTTATCATGTCTATAAAAAATACTTTTGCTTATTAACACCCTGAATGGGAACTAAGCTGGGTCATTACCCCTTATCTTGTCTTTTTGATATGCAATGTTTCAAACCAGTCCTCTCCCTCTCTCTCTCTCTCTCTCTCTCTCACACACACACACACACACACACACACACAATCACCAACCTGAAAAAGAAAAAAAAGGAAAGTTTTAGATTTTGTATATATATCTTTAAGAAATAGAGCATGAGACGAAAACCTTAATTAGAACATTTTTTACGTTTTCTATTATATTCTTTCAGTAATCAAAGGAGCTCTGAAATTCATGATCAGTACCATTATTTCACTTGTTTCTCTCTTTAACCTGTTTCTCAGAATCAATGGCTCCTCTGAAAACGAATGCTAACACTTTTTCTTTTCAGAAATTTAGTTCGTTTATGGCTATAATCTAATCTTTAATGAATATTGTCCATGAGAAGCTCTTGATACTAGGAGTTGGGATATTTTTATATTGAAAGCATAACACGTCTCATTACATGGATGGGTCTCTGTTTCTATTTGTGTCTGTCAATTATGTGCAGATGTGTTCTGGTGTTGTCTCTCCTTTGTCTTGGAAATCTTGAATACGTGAACACATCACATTTACTTCAGCTCTTGTAAGGGCAATCTTTTCTGTCCAACATCGAATTGCAACGAGATGTTCACACTATAGAATTTGTATGATGCTCTTTTGCAACCTTTCTTTTGCAGGGCGAGAAGGAAAAGAAAATCTGTGAATTGGCCACCGAGTTGGACAGCACAAATCAGCGATGTGAAGTGTATCGGGCAAATCTGCTGGCAGTTTTGAGAGATATGGAGGACCAGAAGTTGAAGCTATCAGTTAAAGTTCAGAATGCAAGGCTTAGCTTGAAAGAATGAATGTAGCACTAGTGTTTGCCATGTTATATTTCTTTCCTAGCTGTAATACTCTCTTTTGCACTACCAAAAGTACATATATAAGTAGATGTTTGTTTCATTGTTGCTGGTTTTTGTTAAAGGTTTTGTACATCCATTGGTACAAGTTGGGAGGGAGAAATAACTTGCAGCTAAGTTCCAATCCTAATTTAAAATGTCACTGACTCACTTATGATTCAAGTTGATGCCTTGGCCAGGTCGAATGTCTATTTTCTGAGTTCTTGTATCTGCAATTCAGCGTCATCAAATACCCTCTTGTATACCTGTTATGGCTTTCGGGTAATTTCAGGAATTGGTCAGAAGGCATATAACATCCATTACCCCAACATGACGGTAAATATTGAATACAACGGTAATACCATGTTACCATTGATGACATGATATTATTAATCAATAATAAAATTTCAAATGGGTAAGATAAACTTCACTTAAAACTTATATGACATAATTATTTGCTTACATGATATGTTAGTTATTAATTTTTGTGGAATCTATTTGTTATTTGTTTTAATATTGTTGATTGATAACACTTTATTAGCTTGCCATGTAGTATTATGTTCTTTTCTTTTTTTAATTAAACTTTTTGGGTGGAATTACCTATGTGTTCTAAAAATCAGTGTTTTCGACTTATCACACGCACGTGTGTGAGTTTCAAAACAAATTAGGGTATAAAATCTCCTTACCCCTCGACACTTGTGTATGCCGTACTTGGGGCATGCGATAGATGTTGTCAAAAGAGAGTCAGCACGAACGGATGATTTTCCCATACAAACTCTTGGGAAGTGGAACAAAATGAAACCCAGAATACTTAACACTAGGCTAAAGCCGATTAGTGGATTACAGGTACAATCACTAGTTACATACAGAAGATGTCAAATCCAATACGAGAGCACATATGCGCAGTTAAAGTCCTGGAATCAGCCAAACTGCAGCCAAGAAAATTGGTAAGATGCCTTTGCATTTTTCTATTGTATTGTAGACATACCTTCTTCACATGGTAACATGCCTTGCCATGTAGTATTATGTTGACAAATAGGACCATGAGAGAGTATACATGAATAATCCCTTTCAATCCATTATACACAAATGGCTACTCATTTTCCAGAGAACTTGGAAAGGAAGGACCAACAACACATACGCTACACATCTGAAACTCTTGGACATCAACTATGGTCCATCAAAGGCAACTTAAAAAACTTTTCTTGTCTACACCACCAAAAGTGAGAAAACACATTTATTCAAAGAGACTAGTTAAGTACAGATCTATGAGCATAAATCAGAAGAAAAAAAAATTACATGCTATTGCTAAGTTGCACCTTTAAAGGCCATCCTTCATGCTCAGCTTTATGTTTTGGACTTTGACTGATAGCTTTTGTTTATGATCCTCAATATCCCTCAAAACTGAAAGCAAGTTGGCTCTATAAACTTCACACTTCCGATTAGCACAATCCAGCTCATGAGCAAGTTCTCGGATTTTCTTGTCCATGTCATCCTACAAAATGGTGCACGAAAATTCTAAGATACAACGATCACAGATAAAAAGCATATTGTGCCTATCAGCTAAGCAATCAGGCAAGAAACAATAGATTCAGAATTGCAGAGCAGAAAGTAGGGTTGTATACCTAAGACTAATTCCCATATAGAGGGCAAGTAATAACAATCATTGCATACTACAGATTGAACAGATTATGAGCCTGAAAAATTATCTGAGGTGCCATAAGTAAGCTCCTTCGCCAGAGAAGTGAGTCAAGGGAACAAAAACCCTTCAGCAACTGGCTTTAGAAACCAGCAGAGATAGGCCAAAAGAATGAGGCCAAAACAAAAACCCTTCAGCAATGGCCAATCCAACCCCGAGGCTTGATCACCATCTTTAAGCAAACTGATTATTGATATACCTTGCTTTCCATTAAAATAGTATTTGACTTAAGCATGTAAGCTCTAGGTTTATATTGTTGTGAAAGTGCGTAGAAGGTTTACATAGAATAGGACTTCTCCGGGCCTAAACAGAGCAAGTGATTTTCCTCTAACCCTTGGTCACCACAACACCCAATTCTGACAAAATTCCTTTGCAATACACCACAAAGCGATGAAAATTTTCTCTATTCATAAAACATATATTTTAGAAATAGCGGTGAACTCCAAGCATAGGCCACTAAGATGGTTGCCTAGGACCCCAAGAGTTAGAAAAATTTTAGGGCTCCCAAACGTGATTCTAGGGCCCTCAAAAATATTTTTAGAGCCTTTTGAGTTCAGTCCAATATTTCTTGTCTTACTCAATTTTTAAAGTAAAAAAATGATATATTTTTTCCTGACATGATGCTTTGATGTCTTGTTATCATAATATGTTAGCCAATTAATTTTCTATCACCTTTTCTTCTTTTTTTTTAGGTTAAATTCAAGGCCCCATTGTAGCGGGGCGGACTCGAACTCCTCCGTGGCCGAGCCTCCGTAAGAGGATGTAGAGCACTACCCTGAGTTCTAGCAGTTCCCGCGATGAGTGGCCTTTGAGTTTCTGTGACAAAAGCCCTAACATTTTTTAGCAGAGTTGGGAGCATGACAAAAGAAAGATTCTTTTGTGGCCGATAATACATCATGAATGACATTATTAGAGAGGATATGTAGGGTCTGATATATGCGCGTATTCGGAGCTATGCGGATGCCATAGTCGCAAAAGTCAGATCAACATCATGGCAACGACATTCTGGAAATTGTTGGACCAGCCACAATTGGTCTAATGTTTGGGTGCATATGGAGGTACCCTGAGAGCACCTTTCAAGTCGGCTGAAAAAGAAAGAAAAAAGGGTTTGGTCGTCTTTTTAGGCCAAGAAAAGAAAGAGAGTACAAGCAACTCACTCTCAAAAAACTAACCATAGTTGTAGTCATCCTCCTAAATTTCATTACTTAAACTTGACCTTGACTAATAATTAATCATGATTTCATTTCTTGTCGATTATTTAACACATAATTTCCTACTAGACTACATTTTGCTGTTGAAGTGCCGAAGCAAGTATCAATTCTCTTCTCCGATATCTTCAATGATAAAAAGGGATCTAATGCCTTAAATCTTTGCTTGTCAAAATCAAAAGTTCTCTAATGATTTTCAACTAGTGATTTAGGCATAAATCTGAGTTTCATCAAAAGTCTATTCAAAGTGTTGTGTGAGCATCTAATCGTCCCTAAAGTTTCAGAGAAAGGAGTTTCTAAAACTCAAATCTAGTGATGACTTGATTTCCGAGGTGGAGTTCGTTTCGATCTGTGATGGATAAGTCAAGCATGGATTCCAGGAGGGAACATGATCCAAACCTTCATCGGAGGAACCAACGACGAAAACAAATTTAATGATGAAAGGGTTCATCAAGAGTATAGCTTACAACCAATGCATCTAGTGGGATTGAAAATATTGAGGTTTTATTTTGATTTTAAAGTGGATTGGTGGGGTCAACTTGGTCCCCTAGTTTTTTAACCGTAGTTGGGGTTTTCCACATTAAAATTGTTGTGTCTATCTTTGCTTAATTTACTGATATTTGCATGCAATTTTATCCATGTTCATGTGTGATTGTTTAAGCAAGTTAATTTTTTAAGTTGGAAGTTTGATTTCACACAACCTATTCACCCATTCTAGGTCCATTAGGGTTTAGTAGACATCAATCTGCACACCCTCAAGCGTCATCTATAATAGGTGGATATTAGGATAATAAACATGCTAAATTAATCAATTGCAAAGCTCATCTACACAAATAAAGAGTTTTTGATTTATGTTTTCAGCTATTTTCCGCATGCTGCCAAATTTTTTCTATTTCCATTCTGTGTTCAAAACAATTCTGCTTTCGATTTGACTGAAACTATGCACCGAAATGGAATAAAGATTATATTGATAGTGGCTAAAGTATAGTGTTGGTGTATAATAAAAAGAGATCAAAAATTTGAAACTTCTATGTAGGATAAAAATAAGGTTCTAGGGCCTTAATACTGAGGAAATAAGGTTGGTTCAAATCCATGATCGAAGCTTAAGGTTCTAATAATAGGGTTAGGAGCTAATGAAGGATTGGTTGCACCAATAATCTACATGCAAAGGTGCTATTTTAAAATACAGACGAAAGAGCAATGCTATTGAGACTTAATTTACTAACATAATTTGCTGTGACCTTTGGATTCACTGTAAACCTCATCAAACATTAGAAATTAGTGTTGATCCAATGATTCGAAATCACATCATTATGTCATCAAATTAGATCAGATTTTTAGGTCCAAATAGTATTACTCAAGAAGAAATAGAAGATAAACTTAGAATCTCTCAAAAACATTCTAAGAAACTCACCAAGAAGAGAGAAAATAATGTTGCTGCATATGCTCAAGTCTGTGTTCAGTTTCCAGACAGTTAAACTCATCCCGCCCCTAAAGAAATAGAAGGAGAAGGCAGATAAAAAGGCAGAGGTACACTTGGCACAACCTTGTACCTGGTTTCAATCCTAATACTGGTTCCATTGGAGGTAAAATGATTTTCTTAAGGTCCAATCTAAAGTTTGGGCCACTGTAACACACTGACAGCCTTAAATTTCTCTTTTAAGTAAAATCATGGACATGTTGACAGATGCAACTACATTTGACTTAATTGGAGTTAAGCAAAGGATTAGTTGGGACAAGTCTTTGCTGAATTGAGTAGAGTTGATAAGAAAAGGCTTTGGCAGTGTAGCCGTGTGTGAGAATGCTTCAGGAGACTAAAGAACGAGACAGCATTGGTCAATAGTCTTTATTCAAAATATGACAGTGCTGATAATATTAGGGTCACATGGAGAGGATGTAAAAGAGAAAACGGAGAAGAAATTTTACTTAAACAAGCTAGAGTACATGTATTGCACGATATTGCAAGAGTACAGATGAAACTAAATAATATAATTGCTTTCCTAAGTGGGAATTGGTAAAAGAAAAGAAGGCAAATTGAAAGAGTAATAAGCAGGCAGTGA